AAATTTTAAAGAATTTTTATCCAGTTGGTTCAAGAGATTTATTGCAAAACATATCAAGTTGCACTTCGTCTTCTTTCCCTTTCCTTATATTCTGTAATGACCCGCCAAACCACAGACTGAGAACACTGCTGATTTCTGCGTTTTTTTGCTGGAATGAATGCCTTGCCGAGGTTCCCGCATTCTGCTCAGTTTTCTAAGTCTCTGTGTGTGCATGCTTGCTGCTCTGCGTGCCTGTCGGAGTGTTTGGCTCTTGAGTGTGTGTGTGACCCGCAAGGGCACTTATTTGTTTGGAGTCCCCGCAGGGCCGGTACTTACCTGTGGCCGTGACTTTGAGGGTTGCAGCAGGGAAAACACTCAAGTAGCGGGAGTAGGCCCGCAACACTTAGAGCAGCGGCGAAAAACACTCAAGTAGCAGGTAGGCCGGTAGATGTGTCAGGGACTGGAGGCCGAGCAGAAGAAGACAAAAGTTCGCATTTTTAGAGACCCAGTAGCGGGTAGGCTAGGTCTAGGCGGGTACCAGTCCAAGTAGCCTGAATCTAGGGCCTATGAGGATGATCTCAGAGCCTGCAATGATGTTTCCCTCTGAAAGGTAGGAGGTATTGGTTGCTTGGAGGCCGCGTGGCCTGGAAGTCACCGCCCAAGAGGCAAGTTGGCCACTATATCTCCAGGAAGAGCAATGAGCTCTTCCTCATTTGCAGCATGCAAATTTGGGCGTCATGCTGCTTGAGCGGGCGCTGGACTTCTTAGTGCTGCTGGGAGAAGCAGCGAAGCTCCACTAGTGCTGCCTGGGAGGAGGAGCAGCTGTATGACCTCCCTGACTATGGAGGAAGACCCCAAGTAGGAGGAGGATGAAGAAGGGGACTAGGGAAGAGAGTGGACAGGGACTTACCTGGCTATGGTGGACACCATCTTCATCACCTTGTTAGGCACTGCACCTGGAAGGCCCCAGTGGGGTTGCGCCACACGAAGAAAGCTTCAAGGCAGAGTCAGGCATGGCGGCCTGAGCAGCAGTGGACATAGCTGCTTTGCATTGTCTTTTGCACAGCAGGGATAGGCCCATAGTAGTCTGCCATAGCCACGACCGGGTTGAGGATGAAGAAGAAGGAGGCCATGGCTATGACGGACCTCTAGTTATGCCAAGCAGTAGAAGTGGGATTCGGACTTTGATTCTGGTTCAGCCATTTATCATCATTATTATTATTATCTATGTGTGAATAAGAGAGGAGGTGAAAGGAGGAGGAGGAGTTGGTAGGCGAGGAGGGGGATTGCCATTGATCTTTGCTGGAGTACATCTTCTTCTTCTTCTTCTTCTTATCTCTCTCCTCTCAAGTTCATTCATTTCTTTTGCAATTGGACGGCATTGTGCTTTCTCGTGAATTTTGCACTTCAAAATTGGTCAGGATCGTAACAATTCTGTTTTATCGAGTTGTCCTAAGAGGTTGGTCGCAAACGATGCAAAGGCAGCAAAGCTCCATATCTGCGAGCGGGAAATACAAAAATGGCAGGGAAAAAAGAAAAAAACGCGATGATTGTTGAGTTCGGACAACCTTTGTGGTCACCATTCTCTTGCTTTCCCCATTCTAATCTGCCACCGGCTGCAATCACCCACTTCCCGTGCATCTTCAACAACTTCCTGCATGCAATTTCTGGTGATTCTGTGGGTGATCCCGCAGGATTCTTCACAGCGGCGAACTCCTCTTCTCGTTCCACCTGGCACAACAGCACAAAGGAACAAGCAAAAGTTCAGACTGTGACATGCGGTACTTCATACGTTTTATGCAAAACTCTCCCTGCCCCCCACCACTCCCTCCCCACCATCTCTCTCTCTCTCTCTCTCTCTCTCTCTCTCTCTCTCTCTCTCTCTCTCTCTCTCTCTCTTTGTATGTTTTTTCTTATGAATGCTTCATTGCTGTTGACGTCACCACTTGATTCAGACATACATTTCAACATGAAACAGCCAAAAGGGAGGGTTTGCCATTTGAGTGGATCAGTTTTCACTTCCTGAAGGGATGGATAAAAACTTGCTGTCTGAAGCGAACGATAGTCATGCAAAGAATACTTGCACCGGGGCCAGCATGACTGCATGTGGTGGCTTATGGTCACGTTTTTCCCATTGAGGTTATTTATTAGGTACTCAGGGGTCCGCCGTCAGTGAAGCTTCATAACTCCCATACGACATCGTCCTGAGCGACAAAAATGCGTAGTTTTCCTGTAACCTGTTTGCTCTCTTTCCCATGAGTGTTCCAATGACGTTTGGAAGAGAGTCAAGAAGTGCAGTCATGGCCTCCTAAGCGGACAAGGCAGAAGGATGATGCTAGGTGTTCCCTTGTAACAAACCTACACCTTGAATATCTTCTTCTTCTTCTTCTTCTTCTTCTTCTTCTTTTGTTTTTTGTTTTGAATATCTAATCTAGTCGAGCTGCAAAGCTTTCTGAGCTCTGTTTATTTGTCACGTTCTGCTTTGGTTTTGCTCTTCCTTTTGCTCCAGAACGACCTGACTTCTGTTTCTAACTTTACTTTCTACTACCTGTTTTAAATTTAGCAAAAGTTCACCCGTGCCCGTGGGATGTCCTTCCAAAGTGATATGCCACCTTTTCCATGATTCCCAAGTCATTCCCTTTCTGACTGCAGTCTTCCCTTGAACATAACGCATATGCGTTGTAAACGAATACATGGCATAGGCTGCTTTCTATTCAAATACAACACATATCCTATGAGAATTGCCTCCAGGGTGATGTTCACATCAGTGTCCTGATATTGTGATCCAGCCTTCAGGTGTTTTCTAGATGTTCCTCTGATCTTCTTGCCTCTCTACAGGTTAAACGGTACACTGCAACAGGTGAATTGAAACTGTAGTCTGCGGGTGATTTTGCAGGATCTCATGCGTAAAATTCCATGAAATTCATTGCGGAAATGCAAGGAATTAAACCAGCAGCATCCTTATCTCCCCTCCCCCGCCCCCTCTCCCACCACCCCCAAAAAACATACCTCCATGAGTGTCAAGCATGGTGCATAGACGAAAGCGTCGAAGATAAATCGCTCCAACTTAACTCCAAAAACAGTTCCATCAACGCATGGAATTGCCTTCTTCGCCACATGATACCTTTTCACGAAAACGACGCCATTTTAGCAAACAGGGAAAAATGAACAAAAATGGAAACACGCACACGCGCGCACACACACACACACACACACAATCATATTTTCAGCTATAACTTCTCTTCTCACCTTTGTCTCATTCTCACCATTTTCCTTCTGTTGTTCACTTTGTGCCCTCTCTGGTCTTTTCCTGTGCTTCTGCTGTCTAAAACCACTAAGATGTGCCAATTGGTCAGTGCCTCTTTGTTTAAAGTGCCTGAAACACTGGGGGGCTGCCATGTTCGGGATGCCTGTGTGTTTTGAATTTTCACCACAACTGCCCCTATTCCACCCAGCTGAATAGATCCAAAATCAAAGCAGCTCCAGTCCTATTGCAGACAATGAAAACACTTGAATTGAGACAATGCAACAATAAGACAGTTTTACGGCTATGGCAAGCAACACAGAGCGTAACAGAAGCGTTGAAATCCCTTTCTTAGTGTGCTCACTTTGGCTTTTTTCAGTACCCACGTTGATTGTGGTTGAACGCAGGCTGCCCATATCCCCTTGTTGCATAGCAGCCCACTTGCACACTATAAAAGGAGGCAGAGTGAAGGGGGAGGTATATTCCTGTTCATTTTTCCTCAGATCTTCAGCTTATAGTTTGTCGCCTGTTCTCTTAATGATGTTCATTCGTATGCATTTGATAGCAGTACGCAAGAGGAGGGAGGAAGGAAATAGGAGGTGGAGATCTCACAGAGTTCTAAATACTCACCACTGGAGCAGACTACTCTAGAATGGCACATGAGGCCAGTCAGTGTGTGGGTTGCATAAGATTTTGAATTGAGGAGCTGCCGTTGCCCATGGTAAGTGGCCACCCCTACAAATTGGACAGGATCGGTTCAGGTGTGGACTGCGGAAGCACCGCATCCAGTTCTTGCAGTTGCAGTTGCAGTCGCTGCATCAAATGGCACAGCATAGGCAGATCTCACAGGCTATGTGGCTCCTACATGCTGGGAACACAGAGGCACACCCACCGCAATTGTACAGGCATTGCCGTTGCAGCCCGTCTATAAATTGGACATGACATGTCAGGGTGCCATACACGAGTGCAGTATCGACTGTCATCGTATGTATGCAAACAAAAACTCACATGGGCTATCCCTTCATAATCCTCACGGCACAAGGCATGCCAACCACATGCTAGACGGATCTCAGGTCTCTCTCTCTCTCTCTCTCTCTCTCTCTCTCTCTCTCTCTCTCTCTCTCTCTCTCTCTCTCTCTCTCTCTCTCTCTCTCTCT